CTCCAAATTCTCCCTGGGTGATGAGTCCAATGTCTCACAATGGTGATGCAGACTGTGTGGGAGTCCATAGTTCTACTTAAATTTTTCCAGATTTATGACATCAGAGTATATGACTGGGCCATTCTGTTTTTTCATTATGAAATCTTGCCTCCTTATCTTTCTTTTTTGTTGCCAGCAATTTGCACGCTTTGTCACTAAACGTAACATGTTCAAACATTATATTTGCAATGATGTAATGTCAGTGTCAACCTAGATGTATTTAGATGCCATAAAATAAACTTATTCATGGCCAAATAAGACGTTACCTGGATACGCCACAAACATTACTACAACAGATGACATGTTGAATTAAGGCCTTCAAGCATGTCTGAAATTGCAGCAATTTCCGTAGGGAAGGGAAAGGGAGTTGGTACACAGGTGTGCAGCTCTTACCATTGTGTGCTTTACCCCCACCTAGTGTTTACTCAGAAAAAGTACTGTACATCTTTATTAACTGACATGTGCCAAGACAATAGAGGAAGCACTGACATCTCCTGGTAAATATGCTTGTTGCCTGGCTGTCACACTAATCTAAAGGTGTTATTACTCTCATAGGGCAGGGTAGAGGCATAGTAGTTAGAGTCACTGGTTTGAATCCAAACCACAAAACTATCTGCCTTGAATTTGCATGTTCTCCTTGTGCTTTTCTCCTGGTACTTTGGTTTCCTCCCACACTCCAAAGACATGCTGGTAGGTTAATTGGCTCCTGTTTAAATTGGCCCTAGTATGTGTGTCTGAATGTGAGTTAGGGACCCTACACTGTAAGCTCGAGGGCAGGGACTGATGTGAATGTACAATATATACAGTATGTAAAACACTGCATAAATTGTCAGCATTATATAGATACCAATATTAAATAGTCACTAATCAAGTATGCAGACCTGGTGTTTTGATTTAATTTGCTGCATGCTAACACTCGGTCAGCGCCTCAGAAAGTGTTGAAACCAAAACATTTACTGGTGGTGATCAGCAGTGGTTTGAACTGCATCCAATCCACATGACGTGAAAAAATATTGCTTCCTATGGTGCCTGTTCACATATGTCCGGTGCACTGGCAGTGCAGACTGAAAGTGCTGTCTGATTTCTGAGCAGTGCCTTGGTTCAGGTGCGGATTATAGGCTATTGACTTCTATGGGAACCATTTCTAAACCGCACTTGTGTGAACAGGATAATCCTGAGATCTAATCCTGTCTTGAACCTGATGTAAACCTGACGTGAACCAGTGAATAACTACTGTATCAATTAGTGCTGATTCACACGTGCAGTGCAGATTGAAGCTCACAGGTTCAGGTAAGGTTTATGTCAGGTTCAGAACAGGATTAGCTCAGGATCCTATCTTGTTCGCACATATGCGGTTTAGAAGCAGTTCCCATAGAAGTCAATAGCCTGTAATCCGCACCTGAACCTGACCGCACTGTTTAGAAATCGGACATGACTCTTTATGAGTGCCAGTTCACATATATGTGGATTGGATGAGGTTTGAACAGCATCCAATCTGCATGACATGTTAAATAACATTGCTCCTATGATGCCTGTTCACCCAGGGGGTGTATCAGACCCCTGCAATGAGACCACTGCTAGATTGACTCCTGACCCTTAGAGCTCAGTTGACTATATTACAGTAATACATACAGAGGCTTCAACTGAGCTCTAAGGGTCAGGGATTAATCTATCAGTGGTCTCATTGCAGGCGTCTGATCAGGGGCGGACTGACAACTCATGTAGCCCCCGGGCAATAGGGGATCATGGGGCCCGTGTCCTTGCCCAAACTCAAAAAAGCCTATGAAAAAGGTACCAGGGGCATCTCATGGGGCCCCCTACTGACCCTGGGCCCTCGAGCAGTGCCCGAGTTTCCAAATGGTTAGTCCGCCCCTGGGTCTGATACATCCCCTGCTGAGTCAGCACTAGAGCTCCCCAATCAGCAAAGCTCAAGTTCCTTGGGGATTGTTCATGCACATGCTGTGATGCTGCTGTTTACACGATTAGGGCTCATTCACATGGGCATCTGAAATGCTGCATATATAGTAATAAATATAGTTATCTGTGTATTTGTTTAATATCCTAAGCTCTGCAGCAAGGGTTAAAATACCACGCTGGGTAGTCGGAGCACTGCTTTCACAGGCTGGACACTTCTCCCTGCACACTACTTCAATCAACAGCGTTACTAAGGTAGCTAAAGTGCTGTTGATTGGAGCAGTGTGCCGGGGAGAGTGTATATGGTGTATGCATTGTGGTGTGTTGCTCAGTACTGTAAGAGTGTGTTGGAGTGCCATTCAAAATGAAAGAGATCGTAAAGCTACGTGCATTGTGTTAATGTACAGCAACATTCCCATGCATTACTGTAATGCACCAATGTAGGCATTAGAATTTACAAGCAGGTAAACGTTAGCATTTTATGGTATTTTATACAGAAACAATTGAGTACTGTCCGTGATACTTTTTTTATTTGCACTAACATACAATTTTGAGGACAAGCTTTTGGGGAATGTCCCCTTCTTTAAGGTCTAAGCAGTACTACTCACAAAGTTAGCAGAATGTTAGAAGAGATGAAAGAAAAAAAAAAAAGGAGGCTAGAGATAAGATGCAGTCAAAGCGAGGGGGGAGTACTACACTCACACAGAGGGAGTCAAGCTACAGCTAATAGTCATAAAAATGTCGGATAATGATTGAGGAATCCCATGTCCAAATTAAGGCCCTTATCTCTTGTGTCAAAGAGAATTATCATTCTTAGTTCAAAAGTTTTTCTTTCCTGAATGGATTTGAAATTTCCTTTAAGTACTAAAACACTGAGGTCTCCCATTGTGTGGTCTGGTTGTGCGAAATGGTGTCCTACAGGTGTGCAGAGGTCATCTTCTTTATGTTCCTTGATGGTATGTCTGTGCAAATTCATTCTTGTTTGCAACTTCTGTCCATGGTATTTTATACAAACCTAGTGAGTGCCAAACTTATGTTTTTAGAAGAACATGAAATATTGCATATTAATAATTTCTACTCCACCAGCCCTGTCACATGGAGTGTGCCAAATGCTCCTCTATACCTGGAAGTACAGACTATTTCCTTTGTCTCCCTGTGCTGAACAGAAAGGCGGGGTGTGCTGGAAAGTACTATATATGTCAGTTATGGAAGAGTGGTTAGAGCACTGAATGGACAATGCACAGATGTTTCAAAGTAAACAAAGACACAGGCAGGACCTCTTTATCAGAATATTATTGCTGTCTGTGTCAACATGAAGACTTCACATCATTTGTAGGGGCATTTTGGTGTGGTGCATTCATCCCATCACACCCAAAGCACAAGAATCTAAGAGGAATCTGGAGGGCACTGGGGATTGATATGAATACTACCACATATACCACCTGCATCTACACTTATACATTAGACATCAGCCAAAAATGCAAAGGTGTGATAGCCTTAAGGCCAAGACTGGATTGCTTTAAAGTGTGCTTATATTAATAAAGCAACAGTATGCTAACAGCTGAAATACTTACCTGTCCTGCAAAAAAAAAATCTCAGTGATGGCTACGTCTTAAGGCTCCCGGCACATGATCATGTGATGTTTACTAAAAGGAAAAGCTCATCTCATCTGAGCTCTGATCCTCCCTGTATAGAAAATATATATTGAGTGAAATATAAACAGGCTGCTATTGTACATGTCTTCTTGTAAAATTGCTACCTACTTGGCTGTCTTAAACATTTGCTGGCTCCAGTACTTTGAGTCCCTGACTTAAATAAGTATGCATATTATTAGTTCTGACTTGATTTACTACTTGCTTGTTCCAAGTTAGTGACTCTGAATGTTTTAAAATTCTAGGCACCTAGCATTTTCAGAAGGTGAGCAGCATATACTGTATTTCTCTCAGGACATGATTACTTTTTGAAGTTTGTTTCTCTGACATATGCTTAAGTATTCTAAACATTTAATATCATTAATTCCAAAAACAAACTCTGATTTGTTTTATATTCTCCAATCTGTAAGTATTAAGTTGGGATTGCTATGCAGAAGTTGTTGTGAAAATAAAGAAAAGATATATACAATGTACTATTATGATTGCTTGTTGAAAAGATTGCACTTTACAGTTAAAATGTTTATTTTAAATATGTTCAACTATGCACAGAGTACATGAATTCATAAATATTTTCAAAACTTGAATGATTCATGTAAAGGTTCATGTTACAAGCATTTATAACACATAAAACTTAGTAGCACATTTGGTGGCATCTAGGAAGAGATGATGAATGGAATGGTGAAAGCGTGTGTCATTCATAAAATGTAACAATAGAAATTTTAGCCCTATTATGTGTATTTATTAAGTTTGGCATAAAAGACATCAAGTAAAGCTGAAGTTTAGCTAAATAAAAACATAGTTTTCTCTCTACAGTTTTAGTTACGTTACCTACATGTAAAGAAGTATGTCCTACAATGTGCAGAGCTGCAGGATTTGCTAAAAATATTCCCTGTCCTCCTTCTGCTGTTGAACTTCTGGAGCTGTAGGGGTTAACAACTTCAGGTCTCCAGGCTCATTTGCAATAAAGATGTTTCCAATGGAAACACACCTCCATTGAGAGAAGTTCCTCCCTTGATTACATTGCCTTTAACACAATCTATGAATGGGGGAAGAGTTTGATCAGTCACTGGATATGCTTCCCCATTCACAGATCATGTTACAGAAACTGTAATAAGTTAAATTACTTTTTTCAATGGAGGAAGGGCAGTAGGGGGGTATGTCCCTGTCAAATCATCTTTAGTGCAGCTGAACCTGGAGACCCGAAGCTGCTAACCCCATGGTGCCCAAAGTTTAGGAGCAGGAAGAGGACAGGGCATCCCTGTGGTGAAGATTTCTACAGAATCTAGCAGCCTGCACAATGTGGGACATACTTTTTTTATAGTTAAGTAATGTAACTAAGCCTGTAGAGAAATAAAATGTTTTTAACCAAAAAATTTAAGATGGTGCTTATTGTCATCAAGGGTTACTGAACATGGGATTAAGTTGCTGGGTCACTCTAATAAAGGTTGTCCTGCGGCTTAGTTCCTTCAGCTTGCCTGCCCCTACGTATGTGCAGGTAGACCGAATTCCTCCAAGTATATCTTTAATTGTTTCTTCAACATCCCCCCGGAAAGGAACTTCGACAGTTTTCCCCTCAGAAGCTCTGATCAATAAAAGAACATATTAAGTTCATAATGTTTTATGCATCAGCTTTAAAGTGACTCAGTTGTCAATACATTTTCTTGGAAAAAGCACCCTGCTAATAGAAAGCAATAAAGTGTACCCAGACCCAAGAACAGCAATGTACTATGTTGGAGCTTTATTTCTTTATCTTACTTTATCTTAGATGTTATAGCTGCATAAGGTTTCTTTCTTCAAGCTTTTACCCCTTTATTTTTTCAACCGGTATTTCTGCCAGAAATACACTTCCTGTCCAAGAGTAACAATATCTACAGTATTAAACTGTATATTTATGGAAGAGCAATGTTGTCTCCTCAAGATAGGTAGTGTGTTAAGATTACAGCCCCCCCCCCCTCCCCCCTCCAATCTTCAGAACAAAGGAGAGAGTTGTTGTGTATTCCACAGAGCAAATTGGGAACAATGTTAACTGGCAATAGTCAAAATAGGCAGAAAAAACAGGAAGTTGCTTACTGGATTTCTGGCAGGATTAACATGTATTTCCTTGGAGTTATTAAACTGATATAACAAAACACTTTCAATGCTATATTAAACAGACCAAAAGGGGGGAAATAAAAGAAGTTCACTATTAGAGTTTACATACACTTTAATATTTACCTCTGTGGCAGGCATAGAAACCTATCCTTGGTTTCTTTGGCTACAGCCACCTGAGTCTTCTGCATATGGCACAGTACAACACTGTGGTTCCATCCATTGGCCCTATGTAACTACTGTGTCCTAGTGACTAAGGGGCAGTGGATAGAATCATGGAGCACAGTGGGAGAACAGGCTTCCGACACTCCCTAAAGTGTTTCAGATACTGAAGATTCTGGTGGTAGTAGTCCTTGAACAGATTGCCTGTTAGACAGGTAAGCATTAATGATCTTTTCTGCAGGGTGCTTATTTTTCTTTTATCCTGTTGGTCACAGAGTCACTTTAATCAAGGGCTTTCTTAATGATGAGCTGACAGAAAAGAAATTCATAGTCACCTGTACTCTGCCACTCCACCTGCATGTCTCTTCATTGCGGTTTCTGAACTCATGCCATAGAAAAGCTTATATTTCTTTCCATCCTTCTCAATGGTTTCTCCTCCAGACTCTGTATGTCCAGACAGCATCCCCCCTAACATGACAAAATCAGCTCCAGCTCCTGGAAGAAAAAAAACACATTAAATCATTACATTCATTTCACAAGATAAAGTAATTTATGTTCCGTTTGAAAATATATCAAAATATGTTTTATCTAATGTGAAAGCAAAGTACAAATGTTCTGCATCTTTTAAAGCATCTCTACTTGTCTTTTTATAGCTTTGAAAACATTGCCAACAAATTGCTACAATTTTTAATAATCACATACTCTAAAGCACAATAGTATTTTACTAAAACAAAAATTAAAATTTATGGACAGGCAATACAATCTTTTTGATAAAGCTTTAACAAGCAGGGCCCTCATTCTTCCACCAAATATCATATTAGGTTCAATTCACAAAGCTTACACAGCCTATTGATTGATGTTGAATATATCATAAAGTGTACCAACTGTCACACGTGCTAATGCCACTGTAAACAATCTGCCACCAACCAAGAGAAGTATTCCGTTTTGGGCACAGAAGATCAGGCAACATTTCTTCCATGTTCTTATGAGATGTAAGTTATTTATCAATCAGTGTCTGAAAGTGTACAACTGAAGATATGTTGCTACTCTACTATTTGTTCTATACTGCACTGTTTTGCTCACATGATGTTGGTATTACTAAATATATAAATATAAAAAGTCTTGATCTGCTCATTTAATTGCAAAGACTGTGTTTCCTGTCCTATCTAGACTATGCCTATCAGTGGCCTGATCTGAAATACTCTGTGCCACAGCATATTATAGAAACAAAAGGGGAATTTTACAGCTGACATTTCCCATAATATGTTTTGGTTGAAAGCAATGAATACTGATGTCGGTATTGACACTGCAGTGTTAATAGAAAAAAAACATTTTTAGTTTAGCACAACTCACCAAAGGCTTTTGCAACATCTCCTGGACAAGCGCAGCCACCATCCTGAAAAACACAGTATGTGTTCAATTATTTACGTGTTTCCTGCATAAAACAATTATTAAAATATATGTGAAGAACTAAGAACGCTCCTTAACATGGGAATTTATTGTATGTACTTTTATCTGTATTAACTAATTAATTATAATATTTTATAAATCAGTATTATACACCATTGAAATTCTTCTTGTGGGTGTCAGAAGCAAAGTTCTGGTTAATACTTGTTGATCTGCCAGAAAACCATTGTGTACTAAACTTGAGCTTGTTGTCTTCCCTATATGTTAAGGGGGGAGAGGGGAGATGTTCTTTAGTATAGCAAAGGGGAACTGGGCAAGGCTGTCAACACTTTCTGGGATTTCAGTATATCAGAGGTATTGGGGTTGATTTATTAAAACTGGAGAGTGCAAATTCTGGTGCAGCTGTGTATGGTAGCCAAGCAACTTCTGACTTCAGCTTGTTCAGTTAAACTTTGACAAGAAAAACCTGGAAGCTGATTGGTTTCTATGCAGAGCAGCACCAGATTTTGCACTCTCCAGTTTTAGTAAATCAACCCCATTGTGTTATCAGCTCAAAGATGAAGTTATGAGCTCAGTGCAGTGAATTTCTTGCAGATTTACAGGTATTCTTCTGTTGTTGTAGCATTTTTAAAGGGATATACACGTGTGCATGTATTACAGAGATGTACCGAATATGTTTATTTATGTATTTTTCCCAGACATGCACTTTCAGTCTTCACATGCATTTGACAGTCCCCCCTCATAGTATTGTTTTATTAATATGAAAAATAGTAATGGAAGTATGTATTAATATATTTATTTATACGTACTGATATAATATGGCCATTAAGCCCATGTGCTGCATCTGCACACTCAATGACTGCACTTAGCTGTGGGTATCCAACACCTGTCTTTTTTCTGGTGGTGCAGACAGACCCTGAATGGCAAAAAAGTAAAATGAAAGGATGAATAGCAACAGAGAATCACATGTGATAGGAAATCATATCTAGGAAATCCAAGTGGTGTATAAATAACAAGATCAAATATGAGCTATCCCAGTGCTTAAGATAATTATTAAGATCCATTGAGGCACAAGTAACATTGAAATGTAATGATATAGTTTTACTGTATGTAACCTTTTGCAGAGTACAGCATGAATAAGTACTTATTCCAATAGATGATTTCTAATTGTGTGGATGTAAGCACAGCGACCAACATGCAATGACCATTGTGCAATGATCATTATGCTATTAAAACTCAATTGTGCAGTTGACTCCTAAAAGCCTGTAAACTAATGACTGTTAACCACCTGCCTGCCACCCTATAGCAGAAACACTGCTACAGGGCGGCAGGGCTGTACAAAATCATGCATATATATGTGTTTTTGCATTTCCTAGGTAGGGGGGGGGGCATAGCAGAGCAATACAAAGCAATGTGCTTACACTGTAAAACACACACACAGCTCACAGAAAAACAGCACACAGTTAACCCTTTGATCGCCCCAGATGTTAACCCCTTCCTGTCCAGTGTCATTAGTACAGTGTGTGTGCTTTTCATTAACAATGATCACTGTATTATTGTCACTGAGGATGTCAGTAACAGTTAGTCAGTTCCCCCCCCCAGTGTCAGAATGCCTGCCGCAGTCCTGCTATAAGTCGCTGACCGCCGGTATTACTAGTATAAAAATAAAAATACCAGTATCTATACCGCAATTTGTAGACGCTATAACTTTCACGTAAACCAATTAATTTACACATATTGGGATTTGGTTTTTTAACAAAGACGTAGCAGAATACATTTTGGACTAAATTTATGACATTTGATTTTTAAAATTTTTTACTGGACATGTTTAATAGCAAAATGTCAAAAATACTGTTTATTTCTCAAAATTGTTAGGATTTTTTTGTTTATAGCGCAAAAAACAAAATGCAGAGGCAATCAAATACCACCGAAAGAAAGCTCCATTTGTGGAAATAAAAAGGACATAGACTTCTTTTGGGTGCAGTGTTGCATGATTGCGCAATTGTCAGTTAAAATGCATCGCCGTATTGCAAAAAATGGCCTGGTCAGGAAGGGGAGTAAATCCTCTGGAGGGCAAGTGGTTAAAGGGAACCTTTAGGCTACCTGAATATGCTACAGTAAAAGTAGTTAGTACCTGGTCCTATTCCAACTTTGATAATATCTGCACCTGAAAGAATTAATTCCTCCACCATCTCTCCAGTAACCACATTTCCAGCCTGAAGACAGAAAGCACCTTGTGAGTAGGAAGAAGTTAGGGCAGAAATAGCGAGTATTCAAAATTTGGCTATAGAGAGATAGTCATGTTTTCTCACCATGATTGTATGTTTAGGAAACCTGGCTCTTACATCCTTCACGTGTTGGACAAACTGCTCAGAATAGCCATTAGCCACATCCAGGCATATATAACGAACTTGAGGGACAGCAGATAAAACGTTCTCCAGGTGCTGAAAATCTGACTGCCCAGTGCCAGAGCTCACAGCCACGTTCTGCAGAACATGCAGAGCAATATATTCACAACTAAAGCTGTACATAAGAGAAAAAGGTGCTGCTGATTGGATAGAAGGACAGCGGTAGACTGCAGAAGCAAGTATTTGAAGAAAACTAGAAGAATTTGTCACTCACGTCTAGACATTCCGGATAGTCACAAGCAAACTGCTTCCACTGCTCAGCTGAATAATGCTTATGTATTGCTGTGAACAGAGAAAACTGAAGGGAAATAAGAAGATGAATGTGAATTCACAGTACTGATTGTATTCAGTTATTCGACTGCACAGAATCATCACTGTCAAGGGGTTAAAGAACATGAAAATAAACATTTAATTCCAAGAATTTTATGTGTTTTGTATTGTTTTTACATTAGCCGTAACAAATATTCCTGCTGAAAAGATTGCTCATTCCCATAGCACAAATGTGACAGGGCTGCGTCATAATAAAATGATGCTCCATTTAGAGGAAATGCGTGTTTTTTTTTCTGAAATCATTCTTTTAAGAAATATCTTTAGCAAGACCAATTTTTCTTTCTTCTTCTAAAAGCTCACCAGACACGTCACAATCTGATTGTATGATCTTTATTGATCTACCACATCTATGTAGTACAAGGGCCAGCCTGATTGGATACAAATTGATTGGATAGTTTAGGTAGGTCCTCATATTCAGGTATATGTGAACCCTCTTGTAACTTGTAACCAACCCATTCAGTTTAAAATAGAAATGAAAGGAAAAACGTTTGTGTATGCATATAAAAAAATGATAAATACCCTTTTTACCATTTTATAAATGATCACAAACCCTCTTTTCTCAGCTGTATAAGGAGCTAGGGGAGGAAAAACAGCAGCTCACTGGTTTTCCCAGGGAATCGCTGCACAGAGGGGGTGTGTGAGCAGAAGTTTGACCATTGGAAATCTTAGCTCAGCCAGAACAGTCACCATGACTGCTTTCATGCCTAGTGTGGTCAGTTTTTAATAGGAACCCAGGGGGACTGGCAGGAACACCACGGATTTCACACAAAGGAAGCAATCATAGAAGTACATGGTACAGCAGGCACATATCAGGAAAATGAAATGTTGGGTTTACGAATTCTTTAAAGCCCCATTGAAGCCTCACTTTATTTATTACTGTAATGCTGTCTGGCACATATACAGTAATAAAATTGATTTTGTTTTAAAGATCCTTTACTTTGAGTCCATTAAGTGTCAGAGATCCAACAGCTTTGTGCCTATGATCATGCTAAACATACTGTTTTGCAACAAAACCAAGGCATGCTGTTTGTTTTGTTTGGCAGAGTTCAACCCTCCTGTGGGCAGCAGTATAATCCAAAGATTTAGGACTTCCTTTGCCCTCAATGGACTCCCAAGAAAGGATTTTTCAGTGAGTAAAAAAGTCCTATTTTCATTCTTGTCCATTATGGAACACTGGAAGTCTTAAAACTTCAGGGCATCCAAAAGCAGTCAAACTGAGGCAATATCAGGCCAAAGAAAGCAGAAAACTTTATATCGAAACCTGGCATCAGATGAGGTTGTACGACCACCTGGTAGAACTTGTAAAAAGTAGACGGGGTAGACTGGGAATGTGTATAAAATCCTGTTCTACCAGCCACCATCTATAAATAGCAGGTAAGTAGTCAAAGTGATGGATATCGGGCCCTTGGAGAATGTAAACAGTACAACTTGATGCCAAATGACAGAGTGCACTCTTTGGGGCCCAAGGAGTGTGGGAGTGGTAGATTTGGGTAAGGGTGAGGGTGAGCAAGAAAGGTAAAGAAAAGGAGGCACAGAAGATGACAAAAAAAGGGGTGGGATGAATGCAGCAGGAGTCCCAGTCAGAAAAAAAAGGGTTAAAGGGAGCACAGGGGGCAGGGAGAAAGGAAACAAAGATGGGAGGAGGAGTGTAGGGCCAATATTAGTAAAACTATGAAGAATATTTGTGTTATTTTAAGAATTCTAGAGACTCTAGTATTCATTCGTTCAAAGGAATTTAAACCTGCTGCAGTATATAAAGATTACACAGAAAGAAGAGCATATTTGTTATTGTATACATAGAATTACTGCATTATAGTAATAAATAGGGAGGCTTCACCTTTCAAATGGGCTTTAAGAACTAACACTAATGAAGCATTATTTTTATTAGTTGGGAGACAGTACTATACTGTGCCTTGCAAGTGTCTTCTGAAGATTAAGCATAAAGAGTGACAAATTTTGTTATTTTTTGCATTATTATGATGAAGTTATTTCCTTAACCTCCCTAGCGGTATTCCCGAGTGTAGCTCGGGGTAAAGTTTCAGTACCAAAAGCGGTAACCCCGAGCTACACTCGGGCTTACCATGCAGCGTTGCTCAGGGGGTCCCTGCAGCACTTACCTTGTCCTTCGCTCCCGCGATGTGTCCCCTGCAGCGTCCCCGGCCATCTCCTCCGGCCGATGCCGGCATCTGGCTTCCGTGTTCCCTTCCCTGTGACGTCCGGACGTGCGACGGCAAATTTGAAATTTTTAAAAAAGTCATTTTTTTTTAAAATAATTATTACATAGTAAAACATTGCTGTTTCAAAACTTTTCACATACATTTTGTCCCTACTGCTTTGTCCTGTACCCTGCCTGAATTTTGACAGTTCTTTCTGCCTGGAAACTTAGGAAAGTCCATGGCGTCCAAAAAGCGTCCCTTTATGTCAAAAGCTGTTTTAGACCAGCTAGAGAACAGCGATAGTAAATCAGAACCACTTGCAGAATTGAGTGATAATGATTCGTGGGGAAATTCATCATCAGACACTGAAAACGATTTTGCGACTTTGCTCAGCGATGTGCGAACTTGGCGCTATATTTCAAATTTCAGTGTTTTTGGTTTGATTATATTATTTAATTAAATTTATTATTATTATATTATTATCTTTTATGATTATTTATTAAATTATAGTTTTTTATCTTAGTTTTATCATATCCGGAATGTTTACTAGACTCTTGTTCGGACAGATTTCAGTGAGTTATTCCTAAATTACAGGCCTACAATAAAAAAAAAAAATACATAATTCCATGCAAAAAAATGGTACCGCTTTCAGCACCAAAAATCTAAAATAATCATACCGCCAGGGAGGTTAAAGATTATTACTTGTTGTTTTAAATCCCTGATGACTATTAAATCTATGACAGTACACAATTTAAGCATTCAAGCCTGTCCCTCACTTTGCACAAGGCTCTCGCCATCTCAAAGGTCCCCACAGTGTCCATATTGGCAGCAATTATAGGAATCCCTTGGTAGCTTTTGCCCGAGTTCCTGAATGAAAATGCACGGGTGAGCTCCACCTGCAAGACAAAAAGTACTAGTATACAGAAGGTGGAAAAGGATATTTCATGATTATATTTGTTCAATGTTTAACAGTTTATGCTAAACAATTTTATGATCATAAAAATACAAAATAATTTAGAATTACACTTATGGCACACGCAGCAACATCTATATGTGCAATTCAGCACCAAAAATAACATTATTCCTGTAACTCTAGGGATTTGTGTAGCATTAGCGTTTTAGAGAAACAGTAATATAAATTAATTATTCTACAGCAGAATTATTTATCCTGCACCAGCCATATCCCTGATCATCTAAAAACGGAAAAGCCTGGTGCAGGGGAGAAGCTACTTTTTTAAATGCCCAATTATACTACTAATGCTTCTTATGCTGTTCCAACAAAGGATTAAAATGAGAAATTCACAATTGTGCAGTATTATTATATTGCAAGCCAGCATCCAGCATATTCCAAAGTACCTGAGAGAATTAAATGATAAAAGCAGAACTACCGATCAAAGTTAACATCCTCCCTATAGACCTATTTGTTCGTGTCAATAGCTTGAAAAAAAGTGATTTTGTTACAGTATGTCTTCAGAAGAGAAGCAGGTAAAAATGTGGAAGTTAGCTAAAATCTTTGATAAAATAGAATTCCATATGACACCTCTTCAAAAGTGTAAATGAAAGTGAAGCTCTGGTTTGCTAAACATTAGACCCCTATGTTGTCACCTGGGGGAGGGGGTGGAGAGGGAAAGTGTAAGCTCTAAGCAGCACAGCTTATAGCTTACACCATTTCTCATCCTGGCTGCTGTGCCTAGTTACAACGGGTTCAACCCAATGGTAGCCCTACCAACAGCGTATACTTAACTTCCCTTAACCCTCGCCACTCAAATCAGCCATCAGGAAAGAGAGTTATCTCTGTGCATTCGAGTTTACATACGACTGAAGACTCTCTCCCTGCCCCAGTGTGAAAACACTGGATGCATGAGTGGTCAATCAACAAGCAACAGCAATTTTATGTGTAATGAAGGGGATGAGGTCACATGTTCCCATGCCTGCAAGTCCCACCAATTTATATTTGCTCCTTGCAAGCAGGCAAAGTGAAAGTTCACTTTAGGCAATAGTCACAAAAGAAAAATACTCTTTATTTTAATGTTCACTTATTGGTGTAAGCGTAATATGCAGTGCAAGCTTTTCAAAAGCATTAGTAATGCTTTCAGAAGGCTTCCAGCAGCTTTGTTGAAGCCTTTAAAGTACCTTCAGTTTAGAAAGATTAAACACTGATCTTAACAGGATTGATGGCTATCATTTTAAACAAGCTGCTAGAAGGCTTCAGCAAGTTTTAGCACTACTTGAAGTTTATTGAAAGCCTGACAGCTGCTTGTATAAAGTAACAGTCAGCACTCTCATTAGGATCAGTGTTCAACATGACATGGAAGATCTTACATCTATAATCAGAAGCACTAAGGATGCCTTTCAACAGAGAAGGTTCTGCTGGCTAGACTTCACAACCTCTTCAGAGTACATACAAAATGCTGACTTCACACTGGGGCTTAAGCTGGCCATAGATGGATTGAAATTTAGTCCTTTCAGCAAGGACTGGCCAATTTGCAATCCATCTATGGCTGTTCCCATTTGTGAGCAGTCAATCCAGTGATAGATTACTCTCGCATGGGACTGCTGGAAAATTTGCAGGTGCATTGCTTATCAGCGTATTCTGATCGGAGGAGTCCCACTGTCAGAATGCCATAGTGCAACAGG